AACAACAACAACAACAACAATGGTGCTGTAGGATAAGCAATATTGGTATGAACTACAAGGATGGTGCTTCAAGCTCACCACCCATTCCTCGGAAACATTATATAGGGTCACTCTGAGTTGGAGCTGACTCCATGACACTTAACAATAACAATACATATATGCACAAATGAACACTAATTTATAAGATTATAGGGTAAATTTGTATTTATATTCTTAAACTATGCAGCACTTCAATTTATAGCTACAGACTGTTGTTAGGTGCTATCAAGTGAGTTCCAACTCACAATGGTCTAGTATAAGGTTTCCAAGGCTGTAAAGCCTTACAGGAGCAGATCCAGTTTAGACTCTAAATTTATCATAAAGTTACAAAACCACCCTCTCTTTGGCTCTTCCCACTCTCTCTTGCTAATCTTAAGATCCTGGTGTTTCTGAAGTTTCCGCTTTAGCTTCTCATTCTACTTACTTTCTCTGAGGGGCCTATGTCTTTAATCACTGTCTATTCATGGGCTCATTTACCTTTGATTCAGTATCAGGGAAAAAGCAATCATTAGAAAAGGGTCAGCAAAGGCAAGACAGGGACTCTGAGAGTTGCAATGATACAGTGGCCAAAAAAAATGGATTCAAGCCATCATAGAGATGGCACAGGACTAGGCAATATTTCATTCTGTTACATATTAAGGTCAGAATTAACTTGATGGCCAACAACTGACAACAATCAGTTGTTACACCTATCAGTGTGCCCCAAACCTGCTCTTCCTAAAGAAAAGTACAACCATCTACCCAGATGCCTAAATAAAAAATCATCGTCATTTGCAAAAAAAACAAAAATGAATAAACCATTGCCATTGAGTTGATTCCGATTCATCGTAACCCTATATAGGATTTCAGAAACTGTAAATCTTTACAGGTACTGACAACTTCATCATTCTCCTACAAAGGAGCTGACTTCGCCGACTTTGCTACAAGCAGCCCAACATTACCCCACAGTGCCTCCACCCACAGTGCCTCTACTAATCCCATTATTATCACAGGCCCCTATCATTTCTTATCTGGCCTACTTAACTACAAACTCTTAACTATAAAATCACCCTTGCATGAGCCTTTATGTTCTTCAACCCATTTTTTCACACGGATTCAAGAATTATCTTTGAAAACCATAAATTGGATCATTATAATCCTGCTTTCATTGATTAGTCATAGTTTCAGAATTAAGACCAAATCCTTTCAACATTAAATTCTTTCTAAAGTTTGCTTATTTCCATAGTCACAATTCAACAACTATAGCCCAAACACACAAAACTAGCTTACATTATAAACTACAGTTGACCCCTGAACAACACAGGTTTGAACTGCACAGGTCCACTTATAGATTTTTTAAAAATACATGTGACAGCAATCAGCTCTGTATGAGCAGTTCGTCTCTCCAGTAAACTGTGTATTACTGTGAAAAGTGATCTTTCAAGTTCTAGCGCATTTTTCGAGTTCAGTACAATACCATAAACCTTGATTAACACCATGGAACCTATACAAAGTGCCACTAATGCTGGAAGTGTTCCCTAGAAGCAGAAAAAAGTCATGTTAAAAGACAATGTTGGAACGTATGACGGAACCCGTGGCAATGGGAGTCATGGTTGCTCGGCGAGCTCTGCATTTCATATTCAAAGTGGGAAGCCACTTCCAGATGGCACATTTCTACCTCAGTGTCCTTGGGATGAAGATTCTGCGGCATGAGGAATTTGAAGAAGGCTGCGAAACTGCCTGTAATGGGCCTTATGATGGGAAATGGAGTAAAACAATGGTGGGATCTAGACCTGAGGATGATCACTTTGTTGCAGAACTGATTTACAATTATGACATCGGAGACTACAAACTTGGCAATGACTTCACGGGCATCACACTTGCCTCTAGCCAGGCTGTCAGCAATGCCATGAACGTGGAGTGGCCACTCAGAGAAGTTTTTTTTTATACTGAGGCCCCAAGAGGATATAAATTCTATTCGCAGAATTGCAATCTACCTCAGTCAGGTTGTGTTTTAAAAGTTACTCTAGCAGTGTCTGATCTTCAGAAGTCCTTGAACTACTAATCTACTGGGAATGAAAATCAATGAAAAAGATGAACAGAAGCAAATGACTTTGCTGGGCTATGCTGACAACCAATGTAAGCTGGAGCTAAAGGGTATCAAGGGTACAATTGATCATGCCACAGCTTTTGGAAGAATTGCCATTTCATGCCCCAAGAAATAGCTGCCAGACATAGAAGACTTGATGAAA